ATGCTCATAAATTGGCAGAAGCATCAAATGCTCAATGCAACGTTTCAACACTTTGCTACTTCCAAACAGAGACCATTTTTTTTACATGTAGCCTCATCTTTCACACAGAGTTAAAATACGTCCTCACAAGTCTACCGCGGTGTGTGTGGACTTTCAATGTTCTCACCGTGCTCGTGTGGACTGTCTCAGGTGAGCTCACACATCACTAAAATAAGGATTTCATGTTCATTAAAGACTCTTTAGCGCATCAGGCTGCGTAAAAGCGGTCGCGGTTGCTCGGCGAGGCGAATCAAGGACGTGCCGATTGGGCCAAAGGAATCAACTCAGTAGGAGTACGATTCGATTCCACATGGTCTGGCTCAGTTCGAGAGGGTCATGACTTTTTGGTGGTCATTTCACATCCATTTGAACAAACTTGTCAGCAACATAAATGCGCCATTTCAGAATCAGAATCAGAATCGCCTTTATTGTCATTGTATAGCTTACAATGAAATTTGGGTGCCATTTTCTTTCCAAGATGTATCTCTCCGATAAAATCCGATTGGATACGTGCTGTATATCAACGTGACTCGCCTCGATTCGCCATTTGATTGAGTGCTCAGGGAGATGATGCGACCACACACTTAATCTTGGATTACGTAACAACAATCCGCGAGCACTCCAGCACAAATCAACAGAAAAGCAATCTAGCTCCCGCGCTGGCCACTGTGAAAACCGGTCACGAGCGCTCCGCCAAACAAAAAGCGGCGCAAACAAAGGAGCAGAGATGATGGATGAACTTCGGCGGCTGGGTTGAAGCGAGGGCGGCCGCGTTGGAGTAAACACGGCGAGGGGGGATGAGGAGGTTTTCGTTGAGGTCAGGAAAACAAAAGGAGAGAGGGAGATTAGACACATTCAAGAGGCAAAGGAGGGAGGAAGGAGACAGGAAAGGAGGTCAGATGCTGGGGAAGCGCCGAGGCGACGCAAAAAAAGGTGAACGCACAAGTACTGTGAAAATTGGGACGAGGAGCTAGCAAAGTATATTGGACATGAAAGTAGACGTAACAGTGACATCAAGCCATTTCAGGCGTTG